ACCTTCTCTTGTCTTCATTAAAGCTTCCTTATATATTTCCTCTAAATACAGGGTGTTTCAAAAAAAGGTAACCCCGTCTCTAGGGTAGGTAAAAAACTGAAAAATAATTGGGGTTTGCTTAGTACAAAATTTTTGTAACGCCATCCGTTTTCAAGATACCGTTGAAGAAAAAAAAATTTACGCATTTTTTACGATTTTGCCGAAATTACTGGCAACATTGTAATGAAATTTTATACGACTATGTTTTGGAAGCTGGTACTTTCCATGAATTTGTTTTTATATCTGATTCTCATAGAGGGCTCACGGATCGTACTAAGTATTAGTCATATAACTTTTTTAAGAGTATAATTATTAATCAAAATTTCAAGTAAACTTAAACATCATTTAATTTTACACGAAAAAGGTACTCTTGGGAAAACTCGATACTGTGTACCGTTTTCGGAATATTTTGATTTGAAAATTGTGAAGTAATAATTGATGCTGGTATAAAATAGTTAGTAATTAAGTAAAACTCACAAGAAGAAAATTAAATTAATGACTAAGAACATAAAATAAAATTCGATTACAGTAAGTATTCTTAGCAAGTCTATTCTTTTTTCTAAAGATTCCATTAAATTTCTAAACGGTAGGGGATCAGCTATGATGTCATTAAATTGACGTTGAATTCTTTCTTGCGATTCTTGGCGTAAATTTACCTCTGTAGGATAGACTTTTTCCCTAATATACGACCAAACTGCGTAGTCCAAAGGGTTAAAATCGCATGACCGAGGAGGCCAATGAATCAGAGCTTCTGCACCTCTACCAATCCATCGATTCGGAAAATGATTACTCGACCAATTACGACACCTTCTATCAAAGTGTGCTGGAGCTCCATCGTGCATAAAAAATAAAGTACTTCGCTCGTTTAGCGTTAAATCTTCTAATATCTCGAATAAGGAATTGTTTAAAAAATCAAGATACATATCACCATTTAAATTTCCAGGTAGAATATGATAACCTATTAATTTGTTACCTAAAGTTGCTGCCTAAACATTAACTTTAAATGAGTGTTGGTAATGTGATACCCTTTTGACTCGTGGATTCTCATCACACCAGTAGTGTGCATTATAGGATTTAAACATACCTTGTCGCGTAAAGGTGGCCTTGTCCGTAAAAAGAATGCATTGTTGCAATGTTTCACAAAAATTCACTCTAACCGGTAGATCATCTGGCAAGAGCTCTTGGACTTGTCTGTAATGATAAAGATGTAATTGCTGTTCATTCAGTATCCGCGAAGTACTTGAAGAAGAAGTATTTGTTTGTCTTGCTATATTCCTTACGCTAACTGTTGGATCTTGATCAAGTAAATTTAAAATATTATTTTTTTTATTAGTTGTTCTTGTTGTTGTTGGTCTACCAGAATATATTTTATTTGGTCTCACATTCCCAGTTTTTCGACAACGTCGTTCAACGGCTCTAAATGTTTTTTTACTTGGTAAGTTTCTTCTACGAAACTTTTCTGCATAACGTGTCACAGCTGCACTAGAACATCCTAAACATTCGCCTAAGGTTAATAACATGTCAGTGTATTCAACATTTGACTACATTTTGATTTGATTTTACAAATAACAAGGTTTCGAAACTCTAAATATTGTTGATTTATCGTCATAACAATCAATAAATGTCAGATTTCCATGGCACACTTGGAGAAATAGAGGTATACCTATTAGAACTTTATCATTACTACCAGCATCAATTATTACTTCAGAATTTTCAAATCAAAATATTCCGAAAACGGTACACAGTATCAAGTTTTACCAAGAGTACCTTTGCACCATTGAATGATGTTTAGTTTACTTGAAATTTTGATTAATAATTATACTTTTAAAAGAGTTATATTGACTAATACTTAGTACGAACCGTGTAATTAGCGCCCTCTATGAGAATCAGATATAAAAACAAATTCATGGGATGTATCAGCTTCCAAAACATATTCGTAAAAAATTTCATTACAATGTTGCCAGTAGTTTCGGCAAAATCGTATAAAATGTGTAAATTTTTTTTTCTTCAACGCCCTGTATCTTGAAAACGGATGGCGTTACAAAAATTTTTTACCATGCAAACCCCAATTATTTTTTAGTTTTTTACCTACCCTAGAGACGGGGTTACCTTTTTTTGAAACACCCTGTTTAAGTTAAATAGTAAAGGGGATAGTATACAGCGTTGTCTCACTCCTGTTTTTATATTTATTTCTTCCGACAGTTCTTGTTCTTTTGTTTCTTTTTAATTTTTGTATGTAGGCTTTAAAGCCTGCATTTTCTTCAATATTAGCCTCCTAAATTGTTCTTCGCGTTTATATCTTCGATGTATATTTGTTTTAGCTGCATCTTCTTTGCTAGCCTCCTTTGGAACATTTCTCTTGTAGAGTCGTTCCTTAGTGATTGTACATTGAATTTTTCCTCGTTGATTTTCTGCAGAAAATGTTTTGGTGTTATTTTCATTCTTATTTTTGCTAGTACTACAATAGTTTGTGTTCACTCTCTGCGCCTGTTGAGTTTAAAGTTTGGATATGTAGAATCTGCTTTGGGTGGATCTTTCTATTAGTGACTATAAAATCAATCATAGATTTATGCCCTCTGGAGTTTTCAAATGTATATTCTTTCTGTAACAATAAAACACTGAAAACTTTGTTTTCAAACTTCCACAAAATTTATTTTAAATATTATCACTACAGCTGTTTCGGCTGATTGCTAATATGTTAAAAATAACAAGAGCCAAAATAAAAAACACTTAAATAGTGGTGTGTACAAACTTGAATGTGGCGACTGCCCAAAAACTTACATCGGTCAAACTGGTAGAAACTTTGATAAACGAATAGCAGAACATAAAAGGGCTTTCAAGAATAGAAAAACAGATTCGACTTACGCACTTCACCTTCTAGATCATAATCATTCTTTTAATGACAAATTTAAAATTATTCACATTCAAAATAAAGGCCTTAAGCTATCTCTTTTAGAATCTATGGAAATCAACAAATTAAAAAACACAGATATAATTCTGAATGACCAACTTGAGACAAACAGTTCTCCCCTCCTCAACCTATTTCATTAGAGACTATAAATTTGTAAACCCAAGCCAAAATAGATCACTTGAGAAAGGCAATCAGCCGAAACAGCGTAGTGATAATATTTAAAATAAATTTTGTGGAAGTTTGAAAACAAAGTTTTCAGTGTTTTATTGTTACATAAAATTCAAGTAACGGTCGAATCCATCAATTATATTCTTTCTGTTAAGTTCTTGTTCAACTTTTATTATTACTACTTAATACCAGTACAGATTTGTAATTATTGGCAAATCTTTATTGTCCAGTTCAGCTGTTTTCAATATTTCTAGCATTTTGCTAAGTCTAAAGCGTTATCAAATTTAGTTGTGCAGATGTATATATATATATTGATTTATAACGCTATATTTCTTATCAGTACTTGGATACTAAACAAGGCTTCTCTCTCATCCAATCCACTCCTAAATCCGAACTTATCGATTTTTGAGCCTTTTCTATCTATTAATGACATGTAAGATTGTTTTCATTCTGCTTAAATTATTCCAAACCCAAGATAAACTGTTTTTCATTTTTCAATAATTTCTACAAGTTCAAGATCTCTATCTATACTTCTTAAAACTTCTTTATTTCTAACATGATCAGATTCTAACACACAATTTTTAGAATGTGATGAAATATCCACCAGTTTTCCAGGCGTTGTAACGAGCTAATTGTAACGACCAAGCTTCCATGCCATGTAGTAGTTTGTGCTACTAGTTATGTATCCTAGACACTTCGTCTAATAGGGACCACCAACACTAGTGTTGGAGTCCTAAGTTATCAGGGTGTAAATTCCATCTATAACTTAAACATTCTAGAGTTTTATTAGCAAAAATGTAACTTTTAAACTAATTTACCTATAGTAAAAGGGTTTTTATTAATGTATTTAATGGCTTTAAATATGATGTCATCCTAGAAAAGCACTGATGATGGAATATTCATTAGGAAAACGTTCTGTGATGTAGCCTGATAGGGTTTTTATACTAATATATAGTCCGTTAAGCGAGAGCTGGCGGGTGAGCTGCGCGAAAATAGAAAAAGGATTATTCTAAGAGAGATAGAAGAGGTACTTAATCGCGATTATAGGTATATAGTATAGGTACTTAAGCGGTTATACACGATGTGAACTCCTAGCCAACTGCAATAGAAATGAGCAATCCCTTCCACTTTTCAATTTGTTCTACGCGCAACCCGTCAGCTCTCGCTTGTCGGGTTATACTTTTTATAAAGGATTTTTTAAATAAAATTTTTGTGATTTATAGTATACAGCCAACTACAAGAAATTAATTTTTCTTGTGGATTTTTAATATTTTCTACAAGCAGCGTACGCTCCGTGGGAACATCTGCATCGGGGTAGGTTTTATATATACGCTTATACTATATACTATTTAGGTATCTTGGATTAATCCTTATGTAGCGATCGGATTTCTGATGTAATTGTTTTTATTGTCTGTAACGATTTTTACGTAAATTCTTGGCGAGCTGGTAGTTTGAACCATGTATTCATACCAACTATGTTCTGTTTCATGCCGTAGTCCCAATCTTTTTCCCCTAAATATTTTCCCAATTTCAACTTTCCCTTTTCCCACTTTTGCGTTGAGACCTCTCATTATAATGGGAGATCTCTTATAATAATTATTATCGTATTATTATGTTTTTTCATGAGTTGCATTAGCACTTATAGATCTTAATAGAACTGCTCAATCTCAGTATCGGGTTTTATATTAAACATTGAATTCCTTACAAAGAACATTTTTCTCTAAAACTATCGTTAAAGGTAGATTTGAAGGACACATTTTGTAAATAAAACAAACATTTACTATCACATATTTTATACTAAATTAATGTACAGTCTTATACAATGTAATGGCCTGAGAGCATTCATAAGTCTTTAAAAACAATGGAATTGTCATCATTGTAGTCAGCTATTTTCCAATGTATAAATATAGGGATGTTTCTCAGAAGGACAATGGAATTTGGAGGCGTTGTCACTTCCATCTGTATTTTTGTGTCCGAACGGCTCCATCATTGAGTTCCATAAACCGTTGGCAACTAAAAAAATTCAATTTTATTAGTAGATCATAACACTAAAACTAAAAATGAAAAAAAAATAATGCTACTAAAAAAAAATACCAGACACATCCAAAAGCAGAAGGCACAAACTTGATCAGTCTACGTGGGAGAGCAGAATACAGAGTTTCGTAAAGTATACTTTGCCTGATGGGTTAAAAAGTATTGTAAATGTTAATTTAAATTAATGTTAATTAAAAGTAAATATGAATAGCATATGCATTTATAAAGTAACCCACAAATATGCTGCATATATATGCACATGCATTTTGCATATAATTTAGTCTTTAATTATCACCGACAAAATTTATGCTTTTTTTTCTCCTTCCTCCCTCCTCTTATCTTCCTTTATTCTTCTTTCCTCTTATTCCTCCAGTTAGTATTCTTTTAGGTAGTCTTATGTTTGGAATTCTTTGAATGTCCTAGCCATCGTAATTATTGTGATTGTAATATCCTTAAGATATTTTGTTCCCCATATACAGTATGGAGATTAACCTTCATAGATTTCGAGAATACTTTTGATTCTATATATCTTAAGGGAGTAATAGAAGCTTTGACTAACCAAGGCATTGACAAACTGCACATAAAGACTTTCAGCAAGAGTAAATATATATAGACAAGTAAAAGCTACCGTAAAAATTAATGAAAATACTCCAGAATTTCCCACTACCAGAAGCGTCCGACAAGGAGAAGCGACATCACCAAAGCTCTTCACTACAACTCTAAAAAATTCATTTAGTAAAATAAATTGACAGAACAAAGGCCTATCCATTGATAGATAATACCTCAGCATTCTCAGATTTGCAGACGACGATTTTCTGATTACTAATAATCCTGCATAACTAGCTAGCAATGAAGTTGGCATAAAAATGAAGTTGCAAAAACAAAAACCGTGTACAACGAGACACAAAACACTAAACAACACTAAACTTAAGACAGTAGACGAGTATGTATATCTGTGACAATTAATACATAAATATGGCTCCTTCTTCTCAGTTATCATCAGAAGAATGAAACTGGTTTGGTCAACTTTTGGTAGAAATGCAGTTATATGCAAATCGAAGATATCAATTCACTAAAGAAAAAAGCATTCTATCAGTTTATAGTACCAATCATGACATATGGCTGTAAAACATGAACACTAAAGAAAGAGAATAGCAAAACTCAAAGTCACTCAAAGGTCAATGGAGCGATGCATGCTAAGTATAACAAAGAGAGATCGAAAAATAATAGAATGGGTTAGACAGAAAAACAAGAAAAACTGAAATTTTCCACAAAATTCAATCTTAAAAATGGCAGTGGGCGGGATATTTAGCGAAAAGAACTGACAATAGATGGTTCACCAGGATTACAATGTGGCACAATGGGACTAGGACCTAAGGAAACTAGCCGGTACAACATGGCACAGAAAAGCGAATATTAGAAAATCGTGGACAGAAATAGAGAATGACTATGTAAAGGAATTTTACTTATAGTTAAGAATCTAATAGAAAAGCCAAAATAATTTAACTAAAAGGATAATAGAGCCAAAGAGAAGTAAAAAAAACATAGAATAAACAAAATTACACAAAATAAGAGGAAAGACTATCGAAGAAATAACTGTAGACTAAAAAGCACTAGAAGAAATGAATAAGCAACAAACAACATGAAGAAGAAGGGTTTATGTTTTGGTATTAGATACTATTAAATTGTTATTTTCACAGCACATGGTTTGTATTCCCTTAAACGTAAAAATATGATTCATTTATATGAGTCATTGTGATATTATTAACAAACTCAACATGGTTTAACTATAGTTTTTCAATACTACTTTCTAGCAACAAACCAAGTCTATTAGAGAGGCGGTACTAAAGGGTGTCATCCTATCGTACTAGACAAGCATTCTAATTAGTTGGTGTAAAAAGGCGGAACTTTTTTTGTACTAATTGACTTTTAAGTACTTCCCTTTTATTTTATGATTTGTCACAATATATAAGGAATGTCACAACGATCACCAATAATATGAATAATGATTCACCAAGAACATATTGGATATACGTGTTTAGTAAGTTTTTGACTAAATATTGTTAATTGCTACAATGCTAATTTTAATAATGCTAATAATAATGTTAATTTCTATTGTATATGGGTGATTTAAAACTATTAGCTTTCACTCGAAGCCACCTGGATTAGATGCTAAAACAGTAGAAAATGTCTCTAATGATATTAGTATGCACATTGGTCTTGACAAGTGCAGTGTCTTAAATATAATTAAAGGAAAGGTTCAGGTCCACGGATTCGATATGCAAAACGGCCAGAACATAGAGGCATTGGGTGAAAATGATATGTATAAATACCTCGGAATAAAGCAAGTGCGCAAGATTGATCATAAGCAAATGAAAACTGAGATAACTACTGAGTATACAAACGGTACAACATCTGCTTCGTTCACATCTTAGGTAAAAACAGTAAAACAGTAAAAACTAACAGTAAAAATTTGTTTAAGGCACTAAACACCTACGCATGTTCTGCGCTTAGCTACTGATTTGGTATTGTTAAAAAATCCTCAGCAAAAGTACTAACACAGCTCACAAAGCACAAAAATGGCATCCTCGAAATGTAGAAGAAAGAATGACATTACCGAGGTATTTAGGAGGCTGAGACTTATGGATGTAAGTGAGCAACTAGAAAAACAAATTACTTTTTTAAGAACCTATTTTCAGGTGCAGGCTGAGACATCCACTCTATATCGCACGATTTGTACAGTAGATGATACAATACCGATCAAACTGAAAGAACCAGAAATGTGCATAAAACATCATACTAAAGACGAAAAAACGCGCACCTAGATGGATAAACCTCTGTACGGGCAACATTCCAATGAGTTTAGTCAAGACCATGTCAACAATATATTGTCGATCTATTAGCTGACATCAGAAAAGATGTTTCCTAAAAGAAAAGGTCCATTACTCGCCATTCAGGATCAGTTTACACCAACCAAAAATTACCTGAAATATATCGTCAAAGACCCTCAGGTCCAAAATAAAAAATGCCGATATGGATGTCAAGCTCAAGAAACCATCCAACATCCTTCCAGGAGCTGCCAGGCATTTGCTGCCTCTAAATATAAGGAAAAACACGACTCAGTAGGAAAGATCCTTCATCTAAAGATAACCATCAAACTGGAACATCTCCAAATAAACCATCTCCCATATTATCAATACGTTCCTGAAAGTATACTTGAGAATGACAACTGCAAGCTATACTGGGACCGCACTGTGCTCACAGACCAAACAGTGGCACATAATAGACCAGATCTCATACTCGTTAATAAATTTAAGAGACAAACAACACTAATTGGTGTGGCGATACCCAACAACAGTAATCTTCGTGTTAAATAGAACGAAAAGATCGCCAAGTATAAGGACCTGGAAATTCAAATACGAAGATAGTGGAGAATGGAAACTACCCAGACAATACCTAATATTCTCTCTACCACTGGAGTCATTCCGAAGAACCTCTTAGAAAATATAAAAAAGCTAGGTCTAAATGAATATATCTACAAGACCATGCAGAACGCTGTACTACTCTCAACGTCCAGATGTGTATGAACTTTTTTAGGAAATACTCCAGCGTACCAAGTCACCTAGGGCTCAATAACACGAAAAGAGTCCCACCAGAGCTCAATACTTTTGATACCGTAGGTATTTGGAATGAGTGAATTCTCCTCTTAGAGGGAGTGTGAGCCGTATGGCTAAATCTGGATGTTAATTGCTCTATTATAGCTGGCACGTTCAGTTTTGTTTTAGGTATGACTGTATTGTCCTTCTCTAGTTTGTTTTTTATTTTTAAGGGTTTTCCAAAGGCACATTGATAAATAGACTGGTGATGTTAAAACTAAGTAGTATTTCATTGGGGTTGTAGGGAGAACCCATAATTTTACAAATTGATCTGTTACTTACTTTGGCTTTATTTATTGTGGGACTCATATAGATGTGGTGTCCTGCTGTAATGGGATGTTAACATATTGATATTAATAATAATAAGAGAGATTGACAATAATAAACTCGTTTTAATTAAATTTTAAAAATAATAGAGGATACTTACATCTGGCTTGTCCCTTTTCTGAAAAATGAAAACAATCAGGACCCAAAAAACTATAATCTAGATCACCTGTTGATGTTTTAGGAAACGTAAGATTTAAAGTAAATGGTTGGACTATCACAGCAAAATTATTGGACCCCCAATCTGGCATCGTACCAATTTCCATTACTGATTTTTGCCATTTAATCATCAAGTCTTTCATTATTCTCTTTTTATCTGCATATATGACATTTCGAATACACGGGCATGCCACGTTTTGAGTTAAATAGCAGCTAAGAGGCAAGTTTTTCATTTTATATAGTACATCTAACCCTAAAAAAATCTTTACATTTAAGCATTTAATATAAGTTTAATAACAAAAATATAATATATATACCTAATGCATATGTTGAATACCAAGACAATTATAAATAAATGAATATGACTGAAAATATCCATAAGATAAACTGGATAACACCGGACGTCCGCATCATGTATTATGGAAAAGAGTGCATAAACAATTCTAAAAAATGTCAATCTAAAATTTAAAACCATAAAGTCGATTAAAATAATTACCACTAGATAAGTCTACTCAATATGATAAGATGAAACTAAAAGACAGTATAACTCGTAACAAAATACCAAGAAAATTCTTCTTCTTCTTAGGGTGCCTGTCCGTTCCGAACGTTGGCGATCATTCTGGCTATGATGATTTTGTTAGTTGCTATACGAAATAGCTGTGTTGAGGTCTTTCTATAGCATGCCCTCAGGTTAGCAAGCCAGGATATTCTTCTTCGTCCTGGGGCTCTTTTTCCTTCAATTTTACCCTGCAAAATGCATTGGAGTAGCTCGTATCTGCCTTGATTTCTCATAATATGTCCCAAGTACTCCAGCTTACGGCTCTTCACAATGTTTACCACATCCGCGGTTGTGTTCATCCTCCGCAGTACTTCTTCATTGGTGACTTTGTCTGTCCATGGTATCTTAAGGATTCTTCTGTATAACTATAATTCAAACGCCTGAAGTTTTGATAGAGTTTCCGCCTTCAATGTCCACGTTTCTACTCCATACAGAAGCACTGAGTATACGTAACTATTTTTGTTATTAGGGTGAGGTCATGGCTTTTGAACACAGAGCTCATAGTCAAGAATGCACTTTTGGCCTTTCCGATGCGACATTTAATCTCTTGGGTATTATCCCACGACTCATTGATTATAGTTCCCAAGTAATTGTATTGTGAGACACGTTCAATTCTCATTTGGTTCACATACAGATTTGCTCCAGTTATGTTTTGTTTGCTGATGATCATTAGCTTGGTTTTGCTGGTGTTTATATCCAGTCCATAGGTTCTACTTGTTTCTGTTATTTTGTTCGTTAAGTTTTGCAGCCCTTCTATGGTATTGGAAAACACTATTGTATCATCTGCATACCGCAAGTTATTAAGCTTAACTCCATTTATTGAGATGTCTTCATCAATATCTTTTAGGGACTCTTCAAAAATGTGCTCCGAGTACAGATTGAATATCAGTGGTGAAATTATGCACCCCTGTCTCACCCCTCTTAAGATTTTGACCTGTTCTGTATATTCTCCATCTATTCGGAGTACCGCTGATTAATTCCAATACAGATTAGCTATAATTTTTAATTCTCTTCCATCAATCTATGTCCTCTTCAGCACTTCCATCATTTGTTCATGCCTGACTCTATCGAAAGCCATCTTGTAGTCAATCAGGCATGCAAAAACATTACAGCTGACATCTCTACATTTCTGAAACAAGATCTGCACGCTAAATAAAGCTTCCCTCGTACCAACGGCGTTCACAAATCCAAACTGATTGGGCGCAATTTGTTCCTCGCATTTCCGGTAAATTCTTTTGTGGATGATCTTTAGAAACAACTTCAGCAGATGGCTCATGACCAAGAAAATACTCCTGCATAACTTTAATGTTATATAGAGCCTATATGCGATCCATCATTGACTACGGATGCTATTTATACGAATCTTAAAGTAATATCAACCTTAAAAAAATAGATAATGTTCAATATTAGAGTAGAAAGAACAAATTGACGTTGTTAAAAAGGTAGGCACTGATTGAAGATTGTTTAATATGAAAGAGCTTCAAGTTCGCTTGAAAAAAGTGAAAGCGCTAGCTGATACAAAGAAGGTTGTAATGAAAAAAATTAACAATGACAAATTCATAAAAATACGATCGTTCCAAAACTATTATTTTACCAGTGGGTTGGAAAATTTTGAAAACTTTTGAAACCAAAATTTTCCGACATTGAGTTGACCATCTCAGAAAAAGAATTGACTCGGGTATCCCCGAAAAGAAAAAAAATCCCTTAAACACTTATTAAATTAACAGTTCGGTAAAGATTGGGAAAGATTACTTGATCAAATGAAAAGGATGAGGAGGAAGAGGAATGGGGACATGTGACTGCCTGGAAGAGGAACCAACGCTTCAAATTTGGTTTTACTTTGTTCAAATTGTTAAATAATCTACATTCCAATTTGTTTATTTTCTTTTATTAGCAACAAAAGTATGATGCTCTTGGAAAGATCTTTCGGGCAAAAACCGATAAATTCCTGTTTTCAAGCAAAACCCGATAAATTAAAAAAAAATCAAAAATAAAAACAGTAAAAAAAGATAATACATATATTAAAATTCTAGAATGTTCTTCTAATATTCTAGAACTTCTATTTATTTTCAATTAGATATTTCTTGAAATTGTTACGGGATTTTGCTTTACAAGTTTTTGGCTTTTATCTCAAAATTGAAAAAAGTGGATTTATCGATTTTTGCATGCATGCTCCTCAACTACTCTCTACAACTTCAAAATGAAAGAAAAAACGTCCGGGATTTTTGTAAATTTTTTATATTTGTCGACACTTTTATATTCTGCTGACAACTATCGTGTGACGCGGATCTATTGTTTGCCAAAACAAATTTCAATAAAATTGATATAAAAATCTTTATTCAGCATGCTACTCGGTACTCTTAGTTTACGTTAATATTAACATTTTGTCTTTTACTTCCGTATTTAAATAGTGTTACTATTTATAATTTCAAATTTTTCTCTCTTCAGAGAATGTTTTGATACCGCATACGTGTATATCGTATAAAATGGTTATTTTAAATATTAACAAATTGTGCACATTCTTTAAATCATAAAAAACCCATATAAAACAGAATGAATAACAAAATATAAGGTTTACAAATTGGAATATACAAAATATAATATGAAGAGGATTTTTAGACCAGTTTCTGAATAACTATGGGTTCTTAACAAAACTAAAACTAAAACTAGTGGAAATAGAAGTCAAGGACAACCATATTTTTTACGAAAGTGTTAATAAAAGAAATGATCAATTTAAGACGAAAAGACAAAAAAAAAAGGATTCCATAGACGGTACTGTAGACTAGTGCGAAGCTTTATGTTAATCAACAAAATTGCCGTTTTTACTATTCTCTTTTACAATTTCATAACAGTTTCAATTACATGTGAGTTTTGGCATTTTGTATACCTAACGGCCACTCCCTCGTTAGGTACGCAAATGGACTCTTCCGCTGTGGCTGTACATGGCTGTGGCTGTATAAAATGATGTACTATATAAAGTGATGTATGAAAATGTTTTACTAATAATTACTTTTTTTATCGCACTTTAATACAACAGTCAAACCAATAATTAATTACAACCCAACCAACATGTAAAAGGTAGGTACATGTTTGACAAGTTTTCCTAAAAAAAAACATAAAACAATTAGTAGTTTTATTTTTTTTTTCTAAATAAATTAGCTGTTTAAATAAAAAAATTAAAGCACCTTTGGGATCTAGTATTCTATTTATCTATTTGGTATTTATGTTTTGTTCAATTACTGAATACTTACTTGGTGGTGGCACAACATTGACTATGGTTCTGGGTAAATTATCTTTTAAATATCTAAGAACTTTATACAAATCTTCTTTGTGTTTTTGGATAGCTTTGTAATAACTATTTGATATGCAGACTTCCGAACAAAAGTCGTTATCACCAATCATGAAAGTTATCATCTAAAAAAAGATATTTAGAAAATTAAACACAGGTCTTAATGTTAACACACTGCTAATTAAAGAACAGATAAAATGCAAAGAAAATCTTGTATCCTTGTAAATCGAAAAAGGTTAATTTTTTTTTTTATTTTGCCAAGGAAATTACAACAATTTCAAAAATTGATGCGGGATTGCAAGATGATGACGTACTGGGCATCAGTAGAACTCGATTGTGGAAGATAGTTCATGAATTAAATTTATCGTGGAAGACCATTAACAGAAAATCGATGTTAATAGACAGTCCAGAAATCGTTTCTCGGACAAGGCAGTATCTTCAAAAAATTAAACAGTGTCGAGAAGAAAACCGAAGAATATATTATTTAAATGAGACATGCATAAATAAAGGCCATATGGTTTCCAAAATATGGCAAGACAAAAATGTTAAAAGCAATAGCCAAGCTGTGTTGGAGGGATTGTCCACAGGTATTAAAACACCGTCGGGAAAAGGGAGAAAGCTTATAATTACCCACATTCGGAGTTCTGAGGATTTTATTAAAGAAGGGTTGCTCCTATTTGAATTCAAAACAACGAGCGACTACCACGAGTACATGAACGCCGGTGTGTCTGAAGAATATTTTGAACAAATGCTGAAATTTATACGAGAAGACATTTTATTATAAAAAATCATTCACGGCAAACCGAACAGTTTCCTACAACAGCGTGGAATAAAGAGATTATTAGACAGTGGTTAATTAATAAAAATACATCCTTTGGGGATGACCTTGTAAAATTGGAGCGTTTGCAAATCGGTAGGAAACACTTACTTTGACACGCATCAAGAATGTATGTCGTAGACGAAATGGCTAAATTTTTATTAGACATCTTGGTGGAACCAACAACAATTGAAGTCGAAAATTTTAAAATTCCTAAAATTAACATATAAAACTATTTTTAAAATAATTGCTTGTACTATTCTCTATATGCTATCTTTATTGCCAATATTTTCTGAATGGGGTTTTTTTCTTCCTATTGTTATCGGCCCTTATCTCGTACAAAGAGAGAAATGTTGTTCCAAACATGCACATATCATTCGTATAAAAGTGCTTGTATTGACTTTACCAGTTGTCAATAAGTCAAAAAATCTATTTATCACAAAAACATTATGCCGCAAAGACGTTTAAAACTAGTGCAGCTCCAGCAATTAGTTCATTGGATCCAACAAGGCATAACTCAACAACAGGTTGCTATGAGGCTAAATGTGTCACAAAGTGTGATAAGTCGTGCATGGAATCGGTATATAGCAACTGGATTTGCAACATACAGGCATAGAGGAGAGAGAGAACGATCTACAACTCGTCGGCAAGACCCTTTTGTAGTTCTGACGGCAAGAAGAAACCCAACATTCACGGTTTCCAGAATTAACAGTATCTTCATGCATGCTACTGGATGAGCCATTTTTAGTAAAAACTGTCAGAAGACCGTTACATGCATCCAATTTAGGGGCTAGACGGCGCGATACCCATCCACGACTAACTAGGGAGCAGCGTGCATACAGATATCTCTGGGCGATGGAACACTATCGGTAGAATTTCGAAAATTGGAGGAATTGTCTCTATACTGACGAGTCTAGATTTCGTTTGTATACGAATGATGGCCGAATATTGGTGTGAAAGGAAAGAGGACATCGTTACAATAAAAATCTGAGAGTCCCAACCACTCTTTTTGGAGGTGAATCCATTTGCGTGTGGGGAGGCATATATTTTGACGATCGCACGGACTTAGTCGTATTAATTAATGAGACACGACATCGAGACAGAGTCATAGTACCAATAGTTGTTCCGTTTTTTTGGTGAAATAAGCGAACAATTTGTTCTGATTGATGATAATGCTCGCCCTCACCGTGCGAGATTTGTCAACGAGTGTATAGAAGCTCATGGCATTACAAGAATGAAGTGGCCACCATGTTCACCTGATATGAATTGCATTGAAAATGTTTGAGCCGGAATGTCAAGACAACAAAACAGTCTCCTTCAACCGCCCCAAACCTTAGATCAGTTGGCCAATATATTACGCGCGATTTGGGAACGTATACCGCAGCAGTTCATCAATAATTTAATAAGAGGTCTTCCAAATAGAGTTGGAGCACTAAGGCGACACAGAGGTGGATTTTTTTTTCTTAAAGAATTTCTTTCTTTCGGTTTATTTGTATAAAAATACGAAGTAAAAATAAATCCACTTGAATTGTTGAGGAGTCTACTTCTTATATAATTAATCTTTTAGCTATTGTTCTGATGCTATTTTCTTGTGGCATTTTAAATTAATTACTATTTAACTGGGAATAAGCCACAATTAAAGATAAAAATTGTGTATGCTGTAGAACCTCGTTCTAAGTTGTTCTGTTCTATTCGATCGATTGTTGAAAATTCCATATTTATAAACGATAAAGGATAATCATTTTTTAATAAAACAGATGTTAACAAATGTTGCTCCTCCAAGAACGAATTTTCGTTAGAACAAGTAATTTTGGCTCTATCGTATAAGGATTTATTTATTCCCTTTTTTACATTAATATTGTGATTTGATAATACACATTAATAATTAATTAATTAATAATTACATTAGAACGAGATTCTACAGCATACACAAGGACTAATACGAGGAAAATAACAATACCGTACATAAAAGGATTATCAGAAAAAATTAAAAGGATAGGAAATAAATTCAACATTTCAACAACATTCAAAACAACAAACACGTTGAGATCTATTTTGTCCAAAGCCAAACCTAACAATGAACAAAAAAGGACAAAGAATTGCATTTATAAAATACCTTGTGAATGCGATCAGTTTTATTTAGGTAAAACATCAAGGCCATTAAATGTTAGAATAAGTGAACATCAATCTTATATTAAAAATAGAGAATTTGATAGATCTCAAATATGTAAACACACATGGGATAATGAACATAGGGTTCAATGGAATAATTCAAATGTAGTCCTAAAAGAAACGGATATAAAAAAGAAAAATCAAAGAAACGGCTCTAATTATGCTAAATGAGGCCAATTGTGTTGCAAATTCCTCGGCAGAATGTAGTAGGATCTGGTTACCAATATTGAAAGAGGAAGTTATTAATAAGAAAATACCAGTATTACTAAGTCAGTAACATATAGAGGATACATCATTTATGTTTTTTAAATAAGGAAACATATAAAATCAGAATTTTGGTGTTTATTGAAGGTAAACTAAATGCACGAACAAATACTTACCATGTCGGGATAGTATTATGAGGTTTTTTCCTGGTTTTTCCCTCATAATTTACTATGGAATCACTAACAGGAGAGTTTTACTGTCATCATGTCATGTGTTTGTCTTTTTAAAGACGAATTGCATGCTATGATTTTTTTCTGACGGATATTCTCAAGTTAAAGTTGATTTCATGTAATCGAATGAACTATCTTATAAGTTAAGTCGTCCCAGGAGCGCAACTCAACAATATTGGCAATATCATTTTAAAGTCGTTCACTTTAAAATGCATAATGTATGTCTTAATTGTCAATATAAATAAGTCAGATAAAATTAAATTATCAGAAGGATTTTTCACTATGTAACAAAAAACAAAAATTGTTTAATTTACTGTTTGTATTTTGAGAACGAGTTCCGAAGTGGAAATTGAAACGTCAATAAACGTATTTTTATCTTTAATTGTGACTTATTCCCAGTTTAATAGTAAATAATCTTTTAGCTATTTAGTATTATTTGAAATTTTTATTATAGCAATATGTAATATTTCCATTACTTTAATGAAAATTTTTCAAAATTATTACAATTATGTACAAAATAAAATTATTACACATTGACAAAGTTTTTAATCTTGAAAAAGTTGCGAAACTGTCGATAAAATAATTTTTGTTTTGCTTAAAAAACTGACATTTGTATTATTCAAATAACTAAATTACATTCTTCAATTAATTATATACTTAATATAAAAATTTGCTAAGAATCAAAAACGTGATACTTCTTCTTCATATTTAACGTTTATAAATGCTGTGAAACCCATTTGCATGTCTGTAATAAACAACGCTTCACTTATGGTATCGTATGGTATATTTATTGAAAACACTACTGTACACTCTTACAATGTTACTTATCTTAAATGTAATAGTACTTAGTTGACGTTGTGACAATACGTGACACATTAACTTGCCATCTTGACGTTAAATTAGTTCTGATATCCCAGATAATGATTGTTGTCGCTTTTAAAAGCAGGCCTCGCCTGTATCAGCAGTTTACTTATTAGTATGTCAAGTTTGTTCATGACCTACGCCAAGCATATGTCGTGATTGGCAATATTGCTGATTTACAAATTCTAATTAGAGTATATTATTTATGAATGTCCTCGATTCAAATTACTAAACATATTTTATATAAACAAAATGCGAAACTATGTTACACGAGTATAAATTATAATATTTTAGGAATAATACTACATGCCCATGTAGGTTTTACACTTGTAAATAAAAGCAATATAAGCTCATTAACTATTATCTAGGAGACTCTTTAAAACCCTTATTACTATGAAGCCTATGAAATACTGGGTTTCAAATTGCACATTCCTTTACACATCTCTTTACTGCATGGACATCTGAAATGAACTATAGTATTTTTTGCTCTTTTTACGTGTTGGTCGTAAAAGCGATTTTGTAAAAACGTAAATATATTAACGGATTTACTATCGTAGATTTGTCGATAATAATAGACCTATTGTAAAACTAAAATCACAGGCGATAAAAATGAAGATGAACAGTAAGACCTTTAAACTTTAAAATGCATTTTAAAGACTTTAAACGACTAATAGGGCAAGGCTCAGGTAAATTTAATAAAATATAAAAATAAATGACCCGATGTGTTATAAAATGAAAATTTTACAAATTCACAAAAAAATGCAACAAATGTATTAAAATGCAAGTTACATATTATTCGGCATTAATTCATGACTCTCAGATTATATTTCCTTTAAAGTAAATATGTTATTTCTGGTACAATGTAGAAAGTGTTAGGATACGATACAAACCAGTTGGTTAATAAGTTTGTTTTATAGAATTATTGAAGTGGAATAAATGCCAGATAAATGAAAAAACCATATCTTAGAACCTGTAAACAACAAAAAAGGAAATACTTAACAAAGTATAAACAAAAAGGTCATAAAAGAACTTAAGCCAAATCATGTTTTCGAGCAAAATGAAAGATCAAAATACCTGTTTCAATTTTTTGTACTTAGAAAAAACACGTAGAAAAATTTATGGTAAGACACTATGGGAGAGGGCTAGAAGTAAAGATATACGACGTAGATGCAAGGTGCAGAACATCAAGAACTGAGTAAGAAATAGAAGAGTAGAAGGCGATTAGTAGGAAGAGCACGAAAACGATGGAACGAAAACTTGCTGGAGGCACATTGAAAAACAGACAGAGTCATGTCTATATAAAAGAAGAAGAAGAAGAAGAAGTTTCTTGTACTTACTTTCCAGTGACGGTTTAAATCTACCCTAGGATCCATTTTAATTCTCTTGACTAATTCTTTAGCCATATATGGCATCTGCGAAGATATGGCACCAGATTCCGCTACATTGAATTGCGATTCCCATTCGGTACTATGTGCTGCTCTAGTTGCAAAACCAATTAAATTTGGATTAAATTCTTTCAAAATATTTGGAAGCGTCAGGAAGTGTCTCCAATTCTTTTCCCCTCCTAAAATATGTTAGTATATTACACTACATAATATACTGCAATATACTGCCTATCTAATAAGCAAAGTTAAATATTCCTAGAATGTGTGCAAAAATCTGTGAAACCTACATCTACGCTGAAGCTTCTCCTACGAGGTACATATATAAAAAAATTATTTTAACTACCAACCTCCTGCCCATGATCTACCTCTTTGAGCTACAAATATTTCTTCGGGAACACTGGTGGCAGATATTCCTGTTCCTGCAGTCAAACTGTCACCCATAGCACCAATCACGTCAATATCTCCAGGCCGTAGTTTATGCACATTGTCTGGCACGGAATCGCTTCTGGGCTTATAATTTTTTAAATCACAGGGAAACTGTTTTGTTGGAGATAGTGCTGGTACTGCCTTCTAAAATGTTCAAATTTATTAATAATTGTTGTACTTATATATGTATTAGAGCTAGGAAAAATTAGCAAAAATACAAGAGAATACGATTCACAAATTAGCAACAGAAATAAATAAAGTACTGGAAGATATTTACAAAGAGGTTGGAGAATGAGAGATCAGGAATAACACCTGGAATGTAACGTCAATATAAAAGTTAAGTTAACAGAAGAAATGGAGACGAAATATTCCTGCCCTAAATTCAAAAAGTGATTTATTACTAAATACATGTGTTTCTTGATATGTTACATAGATTAACAGAAATTCCGATGTCAAAATACAACTTTGAGACAGAATTAAATATTATGATAGGCTGCCAGTTTATGTTGTGTTGGATGGGATAATGAATTGTGTATAGTCGTGTCAGTATGGGTAGGTTTGATACAGAATTATATATTATCAAGCAAATAGCAGTAAACAACGGATACAACGAACAAACAATTAATATAATGTTAAATCAAAAACTACACAAGAAAGCCACGAAATTAGTATTTCCACCACCAGAGAAAAAACCCAGTACCTTCTGCTCGATTACATATACAGGCAAAATATCAACAAAAATAGCCAAACACATAAAAAAGAAAGGAATAACACTAGCTTTCCGAACAAATAACAACCTAGGCAAATATATCAAAAACAACAAGAGCCAAAATAAAAAACAAACAGTGGTGTGTACAAACTTAAATGTGGCGACTGCCCAAAAACTTACATCGGTTAAACTGGTAGAAACTTTAATAAACGAATAGCAGAACATAAAAGGGCTTTCAATAATAGAAAAACAGATTCTACATACGCACTTCACCTTTTAGATCACAATCATTCTTTTAATGACGAATTTAAAATTCTTCACATTCAAAATAAAGGCCTTAAGCTATCCTTGTTAGAATCTATGGAAATCAATAAATTAAAAAACACAGATATAATTCTGAATGACCAACTTGAGACAAACAGTTCTCCCCTCTTCAACCTATTCTATTAGAGACCATAAAGTGTAAACGCATGCCAAAAGTAGATCACTTAAGATCACATAAGAAGTTAAAATAAATTTTGTGGAAGTTTGAAAAAAAAGTTTTCAGTGTTTTATTGTCAACATATATTATGTATATATTTTATTGTATGCAGAGGCGCAATGAAAGGTATCATTGAAAATAGTTTAATAAACTCGACTGAATTTCGAATCGTCATAAATAAAATAATTATTGCCAATATTATTGTTTTTTAGTAACCAAATAACAACTACCTAAAATAAAAAAAAGAATAAAGATAACTTTGATCATAACTTACTCCCATTCTCTTGAGCAGTCGTCGATTGGATGGTTCAAAATCTCTAAACACTTTACCCATACTTATTTGAAAATCTCTGACTATTGGCAAGAACAGTTCGTCCAGCACTGAATTTTCTTGACAGTTTGTTTGAGTCAAATCCACAAATGTTAAGAGCGCCATTATATAAAATTTGATCATTTTGCTAACCATAATTAGATGTACATCGGTCTGAAATATAAAATAATTATATTAATATTGTAACGTTTTCTGTAATTTTTTTTTATTGGGAATAACCCGCATTAACCATAGAAGGTTATTAGTGATGGTACAATATAGACTTAATAATTTATATTTATAAATAATAAAAGTTGATTACAATTTAGAATTTTTCTTGAAGCATCACTTATATTTGATTATACAATTTTGTTTTCTTTAAAAACCTAATAATTTTGTCACAATCTGCACTGTCTAAAGCGCACTTTATATCACTTGGCAGTCAAGTAGCTTGTCTTTCCATTTGATATAATGAACAGTCTATAACAATGTGGCCTACAGTTATGTGGGTGTCACAGGCGTAACATATTCTAGGAGGTTCCTTCTTTAGTAGGTGTTCGTGAGTCAGACTGGTATGTCCCATTCGGATACGATGTAGTAAAACCTGGTTCCTTTGCTTTACTAAAATAGGTGTGTTGGCTGATAGATCTGGGTTTGCTTGCTGCAATTTATTATTTAGTAAGAGTTGTCATCTTCGTAACCATAAGTTTTTTGTGTACTCATTGATTTTTTCATATCTGAGTAAGGAATTTGCTTAGTTCTATCATCGGATCTCTCCATTTTAGAAGCTTCTTTGGCCATTTGATCAGCTATCTCATTTCCTGGTATCCCCCCATGAGCTGGTATCCACACAATATGTAGTTAATTATGATTATTTTGTAAAGTCACAAGGTCTTTTTTAATCTGTTCTAAAATCGGATGATTCGGATATATTTTCTGAATTTCCTGGATTGTACTTAAGGAATCTGTGAATATTACTGTCATGTCTTCAGGTCGATTAAGAGTTTGTTGTACTGCCTTGGATATTGCAAAAAGTTTAGTAGAACATATTGAGTAGTCCTTGGGTAGTGAAAACTTAAGCACATAATCCGCTGTGACAATGGCGGATTCTACTGTTTTCAATTCGGGTGTTTTTGATGCATCGGTATAAACTAGAAAAGCAATGTATTAACTACAGGGGAATAACACTCCTAAACACCACCTACAAAATCCTTGCAAACATCCTGCTAGAAAGAACCAAAACATACACAGAAGAAATCGTTGGAGATTATCAATGCGGATTTGGACCGGGCCGCTCTACAATTGACCAGATATTCACAATAAAACAGATAATGGAAAAATGCTGGGAGTTTGATCGTGAGCTTCATCAGATGTTCATAGATTTTAAACAAGCATTTGATAGAGTATGTAGGGACAGACTGTGGACAGCGATGCAGGAACTTGGCTTTCCAAAAAAACTAGTCCGGTTGATACGGATGTGTATGGAACGGTTACGATGTAAGGTAAGAGTTGGACAACAATACTCGGAGACATTTGAAATAAACAATGAACTAAAACAGGGAGATGCACTTTCACCACAACTCTTCAACTTAGCTTTGGAGCACATAATCAGAAGTGCAAGAATCGAAAAACCGAATACAGTATTTCATCGAGAAGGACCAAACTTACTACTGGCATTTGCAGACGATATAGATCTAATAGGAAACACGCGATTAAGGATGAAGGAGACTTTCGTAAGGTTTGAGAAGGAAGCAGAGAAGATGGGGCTCCAAATCAACGAAAACAAGACGAAATATATGTATATGAGCCGCAATAACCAAAGCAGAGACAGAATCGGTCAGAACATTACCATCGATGACTTTAACTTTGAGCGCGTTAGAGAATTCAAGTATCTTGGAACAACAATAACTGAAGACAATAACGGATCACAAGAAATAAACACAGGATTCAGGCCGGCAACAGATGTATTTTTGCCCTCCAAAACCTTATAAAATCAAAACAACTAACACGACGTACGAAGATACAGGTCTATAAAACAATCATACGACCCGTTGTGATGTATGGAAGCGAAACGTGGACGATAACAAAGGCAAATGAAGAGAGACTACGTGTTTGGGAAAGAAAAATCCTAAGGAAGATCTTTGGTCCGGTGCTTGATGAAGCATCAGGACAATATAGGATAAGAACTAATAAAGAGCTTGAAGAACTTTACCCAGACGCCAACATCATAAAAGAAATAAAGTCCAGAAGACTCCAATGGGCAGGACACCTCAGAAGACATTCTGACGAACGAACAGTAAGACTGGTGTGGGAGGAAGTCCCAACTGGAAGGAGACCACGCGGACGCCCTCGTCTCCGGTGGCGAGATAATATAGCAGGAGACCTAAGCACTATGGGCGTGGAGAAATTGGATGGAGGTTGCTCAAGACAGAAAACAGTGGAGGCATGTTGTCGAGTCGGCTAAAACCCACGAAGGGTTGTAACGCCACGGAGTAAGTAAGTAAGGTATAAACTAGAATTGTGTGTTCCACCACGGTACTGAATGTTTACGTTTTGATTTTGCTGTTTTGCCTATAATATTCGTGGCTACCTCTGTTAACATTGAGGTAAATTTGTCTGTAACAACTTTCATATTATCTCCTATTGTTCCACAATTAGGTAGATAGTCCTCGATATGTTGTTGGTAAGCTATCCAATTTACATCTTTAGTTTTCCATGTTTCTGCAAAATTTATAATTGTTCTTGTGGAATTATTATTTCTTATTTTTATAATTGCTATGGCTTCCAAAGCAGAGTGTAAAGGAATCTCTTTTGATTCTAGATTAGAATTAACATATATTGATACTCCACCGCTTGCTTTGTTGTCGTAGTTTCTGATTTTTGTGGTATGAATCAAAATGTTTTAAGTTAAATTTTTTGTTGTTTTTAAAGTTTGTTTCTTGTAGAGCTATAATTTGTGGGTTTTTTTTTTATTAAGAGTTAAAGCGTTTCGATGTGTGTAAATATTCTTTGTATATTCTACTGAATAATATCTATTTATTATTATTATTTTTTTAATGGGTGCTTTCTTGAGAAACATCTGTATCTTCGGAATTGTCATCTTGTTTTATTTGTTCTATATTTAACTGACGACATATTTTCCTCTTTATTCGTGTAATTCTAGATTTAATGCATCTGTCTACGAGTTTGGTATAGATTTCTGTTAGTATTGATAATAGTCCTGATATGTTTTTCGTGTATTCTAGTGCGATATTTATTGGATTGGGGGAACCATGTGCATCTGCCAAAAGCTGACTATATATAGTTTAATTCGAACCGAGTTAAAATTTCATCAATAAATTCCTTTGCGGGTTGGATCAGTGATTCTGTAGAAACTATTTCTATAGTTTTTGTATCAGATTTAGTGGCTTTTAACTTTTTTGTTGATATTGCTTTTGGTTTTATAAAATCTATTTCTGTGTTTTCTACCATTGGTGTACCAAATGGTACAGAATGAGAACGTTTCTGTATGGTAATATCTGTATGTAGTTTTTGGAAGTCCATTACTGCACAAGTGTTTTCCGTTTGATTCTGAACAGAGTGATTTTTTTTTCAGCTATCTCATTGGGGGAAGAAATAGATTCTTGATCGGTTTGGGATGTATTGATGTATTTGACTGAATCGCCAGATTGGTACATGTTGAGGCTACATGACCAGATTGATAGCAGAGATAGCAGGTTAGTCCAAAAGAAAGAAAGATTCGGTTGGATTTATAATCAAAGTCAATGAGAATTGATTCAGGAATGACAAGATTGTCGACAGGTGTATAGTACACCTGTCTACGGAAGCTTAAGACGTGAATATATTGAGGGTCTTGGATTCCCTCTCTTAGGAAATACATCGGTGAAAGTAGATGAAAGCCCTTCTCAGCAAGATATTTCTCGATGATGTGGTGAGGAATAGTCGGACAAACATTGGACAACAGTAACCTATTAGGAGGAGTGACTAATCTTCTCGCTCTAATGATATTATCTCCTAGTTTTATTCCTCCGTGATCTTTTAAAAATGTGTCAAAAACTTCTTTGCTGGAGATGTAGATGAATATTCTGCTATTAGAAATTCTTGATGAAAAGAGTACATTTTTGGGCTGTACGAGTGATTCCACTGCTAAGTTTAGTGTGTCTACTGCTGGAATAATAATGGCTTGTTCCTTGGGAGGAAATGTAGCTGCTTTCTGTTGAGTAGTTGTAGAGTAAGATGGTGTTTGTTGATGGAGTAACATTGCAGGACCCTTGCAGTCAGAAGTACCGACCATCGGATAAAATTATTAAGTACTTTTTATTTTAATTTTCTTGTTACGTTTCATTATATTGTAATTGGGTCGGTACGACTCTGTGTTAATTATAAAGCCTTTAACTTATCAAAGATAAGCCAAAAAACAAGTGATTGTTAAACACTTTTTAATTTACAAAACTGTATGGCTGGATTAAAATTGGTAATTATGTTAGATTTTGATGAAACCGTATGTATATATTTTGATAAAAGAACTTACGGATAATTAAATTACCATTAATAATTAAACTACTGATTATGTTTCTTTTAATTAATTTAAGATTTACTATAGGAAAGCGATGAAAAACTCCGAGACCAAGTTTTAGGTGTACCTTATCAACTAAGTTCAAGACCGCACTTTTTTTCTACCATCCTCACTAATCCTTTCTGGCTTTCCTCCCTAATCTATTAAAAAACTTTTAATTTAGCAAGGCTGGTGATTAAAATAATACCACCCATATATGCTACACATTTATACCTGTTATGATGTATTACATTGAACCTTTTAGTAGTATATTTTATTGAAAATATACCAGAAGGCATCTATATTTACGGACCCTTAAGCTAGCGGGGACACATTAGCGGCATCCAATTTAACCTATGTCATATTTTTCACCCATTTTTTACTAACTTATTACCACCCTAATAGTTTTAACTAACAAATCATTCTTAAGGGGAGCAATTCTGCTGGCTTAAGGTTCAAGCTTGCAGAATTAAAAAAAACTTCTTGCCTATGACATATTTTTTAAAAAACATGTTATATGGGTATACAAAATAAATTTAATGGGTTTTTACCCATGTATTTAGTGGTTTAAAACATGTACATCCAGATAGCACTGATGATG